AGACAATACAAAGTAATTTTGCTTCATGATAATGCCCCCTCACACACAGCAAAACGGGTCACGGATACGATCGAGGCGTTCAATTGGGAAATACTAGCCCATGCGGCTTATTCTCCAGACTTGGCTCCATCTGATTACCATCTATTCGCATCATTGGGATATATATATATATAAAATGGCTTGACAACTGGTTTGCTTCAAAGGAAGAGTTTTGTTTTTGGCGTGGTATTCATAACCTGCCGAAGAGGTGGGAAAAATGTATAAATTCCAAAGGATCCTATTTTGAATAAAATAACTTTTAAAATTTTCAAAATACAAACATGCAATTTTTACAAAAAAATTCCGGTTTCATACTTCTACACCTATGTATATAGTGGGTAGGAGAAGATTGCTAGTAAAGTTGGCTACAGGCCTATTGCTAGCAATTCATCAGGTATATTGCTAGCAATAGGTCTGTAGCCAAAGGGCTATTTCCAAGTGAATTTGCGACGATGGGTCAACTGGCCTGGCTTCATTCTCATTCTATCCTTCCTCTATACGTCAATGTGTCAAGATAGGACTATCAGTTAGGACAGATGAGTGCATAATAGGCAATCTTCTATTAAAACAAACTAAATATAATATAATATCATCTGTATTGGCATTAAGGATATGTATCCTTAATGCCAATACAGCTGTATGATATTATGTACGATAGGGCGGTAGGTACTTAGATCATATACTATTTGATGTTGATCTGAATATCGCCCTGATATGGTACATATTCTCTTAGCTACACACTTGCAACTATCTCATTGCTTATGATTCATAAAAAGTAATGATTTCCAGCGTTTTAATGCTGATGATAAATTCCTTCCTGTAGGTACAATTTTTCAACTCACAATTTCACACAGCGACATATTTGCCCAAAAACAGTATTAGGTACACGTGCAATTTTATCATTATTGTCAAAACAGTATCTTGGGTAGGGTTGCCATGCAAAGATTTGACGGATTATAGAAATATAAACATTTCACATTTATTTATTCTAAAATTAGTATTATATTTTTAAATTAAGTCTAATTCATATTTTATATATAGCAACGAACTATTTTTAAAATTAGACAGGTAATAAGTATCTACCTATAATATAGTATATAAGTGATGCAGGTAATGTTTTATGATTTAATATAACATAATAAATCAGTTGAAATTTCTGTCAGTTTTTCGTCATTGAAGCAGTTAACTAAAGTGGAAAATAGGTTTAAAAATACAGTGATAAATGTTAGTGTACATTATTATAGTTGATTATATATTGAATAACAACGTAGGTATAAACAGTTTCTCTTGTATAATTATTCTATTATTTGATGATTCCTTTATTATTTCAATCAGTATTGGTGGAAATATCGGTTAACCATGATGGTTGACAACCCTAATCACGGTCACAGCATGCAGTGAAAAATGATTCGCGACATTGAACACGGTTAATGCAAGGTACCTCACATCCAGTCTCCACAATCGGATGGACAGCCGGACATTAATAATATTACTCACTGTACGACATCTGATACACATCGCTACGGGGGCATACTTAATGTACTCTTGAATTAGTTATAGGATTTCACGTATAGTTACAAACGTCTATAACCCATGGGTTTGCCCGCGAAAATTTATAATCATTACTATATTTTTTGTATCCATCTGTGTGCATATAATTCTCTTAAACGATTACTTTTTATCTAATTTGAATGGCAAATGACGACCCGTCTGATGGTAAGCAATAATCGTCGCCTATAGATAAAGATGAACTAGAGGCATCACGTTGTAATGTGATAGTACTTATGCTTATTATATATATGATCAATATTAAAGGACTAAGATGTAAGCCTCTTATCATGTAATTTCATTGCTTAATTTACCCCCTACAAGTGTAACACATCTTCCAAAGAAACTGCTTGACTGTTGAAATAAATGAGAGTGATGAACGCAGATGCCTTTTTACAGTCTACCTCTAGTCACCTATTATGCAAAATACTACCTTTGATAACCTTTTATTGCGGGTCGAACTGGATAGTCATTCTTGCTCACCAACGCGTACCTGGGCCCAGGGACATATTCACTTGAAGTCACACACCAGTACTTTAACACACGATATTTGTATTTAATTTATTTTTAGTTAATGTCCACGTGTGCGACGAGCCATAAGTTTAGGTTAGCTCAACTGTCATGGTAGGGAGATGGAGGGTATACAAAAAACAAAAACCTACACTGGACTACCTACATTATTGAACAATATCTGTTGTCATATTACATTAAATATGAACCTTCATTTGTCTAAAGACTTCTACATTTAAATGTAGTGATAAAAATATTTATAGGTATATCGAAAGCAAATAGCAGCTTCTGTGAAACTTTTGATAGCGGCTTGGATATCAACATTGATTAACTCTCATTCTGGTTCAATCTTAATTGCATTTTTGTTCATGTACTATTTTCTTCAGGATACTTTTATATTGTTATATACTTACCTATAAAAGTATCAAATATTACACTATATTATTCTTACCTTTTCGTGGATCGTGCTGATAACGTGTTGAAATTTATAGATATCCATAGAAAATACTCGGAATATTTAGATTAATTTGAATGATTGTCACGAAGAGAAGTAAATACAAAGTAATTGTATTTACATATAGAATTTTTATAAATTTAAATATAGAATATGAAGATACTTTTAATTAGCCAGATAAAATATTTTATTTGTCAATCGTTCTCATTTCTATAGAAAGGAAAAAAATATTGTTGTTTTAGTCGACTAAACAATATCAATATCAAATACTTTGAGAAGCTACTGACGAACTCTTAATACCTAAGAGCTTAGGCCTTACAATTAATAATACCTTTTACTTGGTGTAATGGTTCATTAAACATGATACCTACCTTAGATAATGATATCGCAATATTGCCTATAGTAATATCTGCTGAGGAGATAGATTGTTAGTAATGTGGACTAATTACCCCATTGGTAGCAATGTACCATATTAGGTTCATATCCACGCTGTTCTCCTGGAAACCATCAAGATAAATTTATGGTGTATATATGATGATGGGCTAACTGAATTAAACTCATGCTCATCTTATCATCCTCCACTAGTGCCGTAAACCATTAGCGCAAGCGGATGCATCATTCCTTTATCATCCATTAGAAAAATAAATATCTGATCTGATCTCATGTCGGGAAAATTGGCTACCTAGGCTGAGCCTCCATTATGTAATCTTTAAATTTATAATAAGGAAAGTAATAGTACATAGAACAGGCATCCGTTCGGCAGTAGAAAATGAACATGCTTTTTACCTTTCGTAGAGCATCTCTGGCAAGAAACCAGCTATTTTATATTCGTTACAAAGGGTTCCAAGGTTTGTAACTACTGAAACACACAACAAGACGGATCTATATCAAAACGGCGTATAAAGCGAATATTCAGACAGAATGATTTATAGGTCCAGCCTCCGATACGCACCCGCGACCTACAAACTAAGCAACCTTCGCATTTTTCGACACTCTTTTGTTGGCACGTGGTGGCGCGGTGGCGCCCCCTCGCAGGTTCGCTTGTCATGTCATTGGTATAACCATCATTTATCATAGCTCAATACTGGCATCGAATTGAACGGCGTCTAGCTGGCGCTTGCAGTCTTATTTGAAGCTCGGAGAGTTTGCAGAGAGAATATTTACTAGTACTAATAGCAACTATAACATTCATCAGTTACAATATTATGCTTATAACTTAATTTTACCTTTGGGATTGTTTGCTGGAGACGGTATGCCATTAATCCTGCGCAATTCACACAATGTCATCTAGTCCCAAGCTAATCAGTTAAAATACAAGTATTTGCACCGTGCGAGGAATCGAATCTGCGACCATTGAAGTTGTCAAGCAATAGTAAGCCTCAGTCTTAGTAGTACTAAGTTGTAATAATTGAATAGAAATGAGAACGATATGCTCCACAACCCCAACTTGGATCTAAACAACGAAAAAAAATTATATAACTACTGTGCATCTCACTCCATTGATTCATGGTTAATGTATGTGTGATATCATAATGTTATGTTATGTAATATGTATTTAAATAACTATTACAAATGAAATTAAATTTCCAGCAGCTTTGCTATTTATACATTACCACCCCATTTCTCTATGGTGATGGTTGGTGATGTATAGAGGTTCTAGAGATATAGAAATGCCCATTTTATCCAGATAGGTACAATGTATTTGATCTTACGACTGCTCTGATTACGAAAGAGGAAATATACTATTACAGAAAGAAGACTCTGTAACACTCGTAAAAATATACCACTGTAGATAAAGCTATCGTAAATAGACACTAATTGATGTATGCGTACTATGGATTGTTTAGAATTTATTTTTCTTATTTCTTGGTTCTGTCAACTAAGTCACAAGAAACTTAACATTAATATATCAGCAATATAATTTCTCGTTACAGTCATCATATACTTATAGGTACATACGATTAAATATCATTGTCTAGATTAATACCTAATCACATTTTGGTAACAGACTTTTAACAGACAGATTCTTAACTTAATTATGGCATTCTACATTGGATATGGTAATATTATTTTGATACTGTTCTGATATAAACAAACATATAACATACATACGACTTAATGTCCGACGATTGTTAATGATTTAACAATCCTAGCCAGGAATATTAGATAGTGTTTATATTTTTTAATTTGATATAAAGTTCCGTCAAATGTATTGAGATACTAATTTATATTTATTCACAACAATCATACGTCAAACGTAGTAGATGTTATCTTTATATTGAAGAAAATTTAATGGAAATATGACGTCATACGTCCATTAACTTAATTAAATAAAAATTAGGACATTTATGAATAGAATGTTTTTCATAATTAAAACTAATGTTTAATGTCTTCATTAATCCAGTAAAACAAGAATAATGAAACTCGTAAATTTATCTTCATAATTTATTTTATCATCTTCACCAATTTTTCAAATTTAATACAATTTATTAATACAATACAATAATTTAAATGATCAAGTTGCTACTTTTCTATAGTTCTCATTTAAATTGGAATGAACGATAAACATATTTATAAGTATTTAGTTAAAAAGAAACAACGTAACTTAAAGAAAAGTTTTTACAATTGACTGATAAAAAAAGAATGGAAGGGAAAATAGGCCACGTCCTATTGCACAGAAAATTAACGTTAGAAGCATTATCAACATAATACATGCGAAGTTCTTACGCAATAAGAATTTGAACATTATTTAATTCATTAACACTATGTGACGTACCTATATTTACAAACAATAAATAAAGTAACAAATGAACCAGTCAAGTAAATCAAAAATAAGCAATACAAACATACTTTCTGAGAAAAAAATCGAATATACGAACATAGATTGCGCTGTTTCACTTAAGAATAAATTTAACAAAATATCACAGTTGACCACGACAATTATAGTAATATGTGATAACAAAATCGAAAGCGATGATTTGCACATTTTAATTGAAACTAATGAATAACAATCGCGTTTCTTTGTGAGAAGAAATGAAGAAAAACAATAATCGCTAAGAATATTTTTAAGTACATTTTACATATACGACATTTAAGATTAAAGTACGTAGGTATAGTCACATGAAAATTTACTTGGTATCGTTTGTCGAAATTTCAAATAAAATACCTATTTTATTTAAAGTATCCTTATTAATGTTACATTACGTACACTGTATTTATAGCGTTATGATAAATATTTCTTATTTACAACTAAGAACAGGAACATAAAGCAGTTCTTCGGGAAGTATACTGAAATATATTAAACTTTTATTGTACCTACTAAACGACAAATTATTTACATCAATGAGAAGAAATATCTACCTATTCACAATTTGTTTATATAGTACTTACTGAGCTTACTTCACCTAGTTAAGTTCACAGCTCTTTTACAAGCCCTCCCTAAGTAATACATGACATATTTAAAATCATTAAAGAAATACAATAATATGACAGATCTAAATATATTTTTGATACATCCTTTTTGTTTAAACAGTTGATTTGGATTCACCAATTTTTAATCTATCCCTGTACAACTCCGAATTTGTTTTTCGTGTGACGGCTAATAGATTATAATTTAAATTTGTGTGTCATTATGTTTGTTGAGCTGCATGATTACAATGTAACACTCTTCTACATTACAGTCTAGCCATCACAATATACACTATTCGGTATTCAGTTGTTTTTTATCTTACATTTTTACGTATAATATGCAAATCGAATTACAGCTTATGACTAGGTAAAATTCTTTCTACTTCAAACTTTAACGATGATTTATCGTTTTTTGATCACGACGACATATTACAATCAATTATCGCAATGACCATTTCTTAAACCCAAAATCTAATCATATAGATCAAGGATTATATATTATTAGACAAATTTAATGTCGTTGATATCTTAATTTAAATTTAATCTGTCGAAATTTAAGGATATTCGGTCTTAAATTAACGTAGTATTCTTGCATTCTCGTAGTTCACTCGTTACCACTCAATTTCACATCATGAAGCACAGAACCGTGTCTTTATCGTCACTTTAAAATGTCTCAACAACAATTTTAACAGAATTATGCTATACTAGAGTAATTTTTCGAACAGCGAATAACTGATCCAGTCTGGTTGCTGTAGCATCAACACTTTCGTCGAAAGTCTATGTTACATGCAACCCCGTGTAGTACGGTCGACTGTCTAGTTTAATAAATCAGTTATCCGCTGTTCGAAAAATTCCACTGATCCTATGCAGAGAGGTGCGCGAACTGGCTCGGGTGAAGATCGAATTGGTAGGGGTGGCCATATGGATTCATATGGTAGGGTACGATGTTCATTGATGCCATTTTGTGTTCTTTCTTCCACTTCATGCGCCTGTTTTGGAACCAGATCTTGATCTGGCGCTCAGTGAGACATAGTGCGTGCGCGATCTCGATCCGTCTCCTCCGTGTCAGGTACCGGTTGAAATGGAACTCCTTCTCCAGCTCCAGCGTCTGGTACCGGGTGTACGAAGTTCTCTGACGTTTCGTCTCTCCGTTCGCGTTCACTGTACCTGGAATTACAAAATAGCTATTTTTAGTATGTGGCAAATGAGATAATTGAGTGCAGTGTCGTGACATAAGTATATTATATATTATTCTAGGCACAAACTCGAAGCACGTTAATATATAGATCTGAATGTTTGTTTGAGCGCCAATGAATACTTGGCTCGATAGAGCTGCACCGCTGCGCCACGCTTGCTCGATTGTGATGTAGAGCTCGCGGCTAACACGTTCGATTCAACAGCAAATTGTACAGAAATCTTTAACACCGATAGTACAATGAATTGTAATTTATTTCCACTTGTACTATTACTATTTCTCAATTTTTAATTATTAATATTGAATACTTCAATATAAGTAAATAACTTAGGAACAAAATAAACTTTGAGGTGTATAAAATACGTTATATCGTTTGTAAAATATCCGAGGCATGCGTACTAGGGAGTAGTCACATCAGAATCAAAGGAGGTATGGCAGCGACACTCAAGTCATGGGTTGCATGCCACACCTGTCACGTCGTGTCGACGGTCCGACCCACCACTTGGTCCGGTTTGGACGCGCGCCAGTTGTACGGTGATCGATACATGCCCTGTCTCGACTCTGTCTACCAAATTAAACTGTATCATTTATTACATTTCTTTAAGCAGCCCACTAATGAGACTCATAACATTAAACGAATGTATTGTCTCACAAAATCCGTGGGACAATTCTATTGTTTGGAATTACAGAATAGTGATATTATAATACTATAAGATTCAATACAATAGTCAAGGATATCGGAGGATTAATAAAAAAGTAAAATATTCTGTAAAAGAATCCAATACTTTCCCTCATGTCAAGCCCGCGTCAATAAAGACGTTTAAGAGGATATAAATATTCGATGTTGTACGAACCAAAGGAACAAGTGAGTCCGCGGCAAAAACCCTACGCGATTGAAATGTTAGTGACAGCTTGATGCACAAACAACAGCCTGACAGCATTATTTTAACATAATCCTTGTACAGAAATGAAACGAATGGACGCAATACGACTTTATTTGAATTTCAATAGGAATTCACGAATAATGCGGAGATGTTGATTAAATGTATATTTATATGGAATTTGAATATTTCGGTTCTATTAACGAGTAATTACTGATTATATTATAGTATTTAATCTTATAAATAAAATAGTTTTTCAAAATGCTTTGTTATATTGTAACGTAAAGTATGCTTAAAGAAACGACTGTTAAATTTTTTGTTTTTAATTTAATTTAAAGTAAGATGTTAATTTTTTTTTTAAATATAATGTACACTGTAAAACTATTTTCAGACAACATAGGCTACATTTAATATCCAAAGTACTTGTTCAGTATACCTACACTACATACGACAATTCTTTCTATATCAATAACTAACTAATTCTAGGTCACAGGCCATTGATATTCTGTGTGTCTGAGTCTAGACATATTGCATGGTCGAATTTTAAACGAATGACACCGCATTAGCCTATGGATGAGACTTAAAAATTTAAAAACTAAAATAGGCAATGTCTGGAAATTTTATATAGAACTGTTTTTTTTTATACATACTATTATTAGTTTTATACAAAGAGGTTGGTTTTAGAATTGTAAAGTTTTAAAGGAAGACTAAGTGGATATAGCGTCTATGTCAGATAATAAATATAGTGCAACTCGAAAATTAACATTACAGCAGTCTAGTCAATAAAAATTGCGCATAATCTCCTTTATGACTAGGGAGAAATAATGAGCGGCACCAACCCTTAACTATCGCCATATCTATTTCGGAAACCAGAAGTGATTCAATTGTAATTAATTATATTTGCTTATAATCTTCTGAAAAAATAATAATATTTTGAAGATCAGAAAACTTCATATTATAAGTTAAGTAATTTTTACATGCAATAACAATTATTAATAGATTTAAATTATCTGAAATAAGTAAAAAATATGATGATTTTTTACTATTGATTCTAAATCTATTTTATACTATTTTCCAGAAGTTCTAAACATTTTAGTTAGTAAGATTTAGGAGCGACACGACTACTGTGGCAGGGGACATGTTGGTATGAAAAATGGATTACATTACCGCAGCCTGTTATTATTTTAGCTTCATTATATTTATAAAAGAAAAAAATCAAGTCATTAACGCACAGATTTATGAGCTATTCATAATTATTGTCCATAATTTTGGGAAGTCTATGATTAATATATAATTTTACGGCTAGAATATAAGAGGGGCCATCAAAAATAATAAGCTACAGTATTCAGAATATTTTTGTGTATCATTCTATCAACGTTGGTAGTTAAATAACGGCTTACGACTTGGTATATGCCAGTATTAAAATGTACAGCGATAAAACATCAAAGGAAACATGACTAATGGTATCTAGATGAAAACAGAATACATGCAATAAAAATGTCACATGTAGTTTTTGTTTGTGGTTATGTAGCAGATAATTGTTTAATCATAATAATAAGAAAAACATTGAAATTTGCTATAAGAAGAATCTGGATTTGTAAGGTTTTAATGTCACCGAATAGGTACTGTGATTGTTGTACCACAGAGATACTTTGCACAAAGTCGTGTACTTCTCTCTCACTTTCTTGTCTTCACATTATGCTTATTGCTTTAAATTATTATGTATGGTAGAGCTTTAGAAATAGTAACGCATTAACTTATACTGTGGCATCAGTGGTATTCATATAATATATATAGACAACAGTTTCTACCTTCCATTAGCGGGTTGATATGTTTGCAATTCTATATAAATATATATATTTATAAGAAGACTTTAAATAAATAAATTAGTCACAGCAGAATTGGTAAGATATCAAGAAACAATAAAGATAAATAAATACTGACAACCGATACGATGGGACTGGCATTATAATATTATGATAAAAGTTCCTAAATAAATGTAAGTATAAAAAATATACCAGGCAGGTAGGTGTTAAAGAAGCATGAAGTAAATTGAATCAGTTGCCATGGAGTCTAGACCGGCACTGTATGTATAACATCTGCCTATTACGAAGCAGTCGGTGCATCGTCAAGCAGGTCATCCGGGAATATTGAATACATACCAATATACTCATTTATCACGATCGTTTACATTTTAATATTTTCTTATACATTTGAATTTTACCGATTATTTAATATTAAGTTGTGCAGTGGACCCGTGTTACAAATGCGACGCATTTTGATTATGTTGATCGATGTAGACGAATAGAAAAATAGATTTTAAAGTAGAAATTTTATATGTTAAATACTCAATGCCTTTGAAAAGATGATATAATCGGAATATAACTATATAATGTGTGTAGTAACTGAATCAGAATACTGTATATTATTTCTCTTCTTTATCCTTACAATGTCTTAAGATGATATTAGCAAAACAAAATACATAAGTGTAAGAGAAGAAAATCTTATACCAATGTTAAGTATATAGGAAGCTAAATCCTTCTCTTATAAAAGGCTATATACTACAAAATGATCTAATACTAGCGAGAAAAAAAGACAAGTACAGTAGAAATCACATCAGAATCGCCTGTAGATTTTGTTTTAAAGTGGAAACTCTGAATGAGTTACAAATAGAACATACTACTAAAATAAATTTTAAAATACTTAGGTATGCCACTACGCACTTGACTGAAAATGGTAAATATTCCCTTAGCCTTACCACTGAATTAACAGAGTATACCATAATTTTTATCGTTATAACTAAACTGTTTCTAGCAGCGAAGCCTTCTTGATTGTTTAAGTTTCGGACACACGTATTGAAAAAAAAATCTGGCGTTTGTCCAGGCCAGAAAGAAACGTTGTAAAGCTATTTCTATTAGTAATTATTACCTTTCAATGATTAAGCATTATTACGCAGAATATATTACATTGTTTTAACTCCCATATAATATATTAAAAATAAACAAGGAAACATATTATTGTCACCGTTTGTCTATATGGCGCCAGCACCTGCGTCCAAAAACAACGCGCCTGCGCACCTTATCGTAAACACGTTTTTAATTTGAGTGACGGTCGCAAGGTGGCCTGACAAGTGGAACGGCTTTTCTGCTCATGTCATCCTGTGCTGTCATAGTGGTATACGTCAGAATATTATAACCAGTCTAATTTCCAGTCTTTTCTTTACGCCATCGTAAGGAACATTAATCAGCGAGGTGCAAACTGCAATTTATCTTCCTTTATAGGCTATATATCTATCAATTTTTTGATGAATTACAAGCGTTGCGAATAAACAACGTCATGCTTTTGTCACTACGGTACATTTATAATGACAAGTAGTTCGCATAAATATTGGCAGTATTATAGACAATAAGATTATACGTTGTATTTACATTATGTATAAACCAGCTAGGTACTAGCTGATGGCAAGAACATTATTGGAGACCCTAATAATAGTCTTATACTATGTAATTTCTTACGAAGTATGTAATTTCGATAATAGAAATTACAAAACGAGATCGGCTTTAATTCAAGATCGACCACAGGCAATCATTTTAAATGTTGTCCAACCTAACTCTAGAATATATTTTTTGTTAGTATTAAGTCTCCAATTTGTAGTCATAGACATCTTGTTAATTTCTTTTAATATTTCTTATACATTATCTTTTTGGAATTTAATTACAATGGGCCATGGAGTGTTGTACTGCCCGCCATACTGCATATATTTGCTATTTACATAATTTTTCGAGGTCTTAATTATTACGGTTCATCAAGGACTTTATTTGTATGATTTATTATATATGAGACAATCTTGTTTGCTGTTATTATTTATAATACTATATTTAAAATTCTGTTTATCATATTTAACTGACTTTAGGATTTGACGCTATGAAATATAGCGATGATGTCTTCGCCACTCTGCGCGCACGCATGTTTCAAATTATGTCATCAGCCAACCCGCTGGATCGTGTTGTGTTACTCCATATGTCAGTGCCTCTTAGTCTCTACGGGTTATGATTTGGCTCGTTGCCTTACCATAATCAGCTTTAACAGTT